CTGTGACACAGGAGCGGAAGTCACCTTGGTCAGACCAGAGGGGATAGAAAGAAAGAACATCATCCCAGGAAAGTCCTTTACCCTCACTGGAGTTAGGGGGGGGCCTGTTCATGCATACCCTGTGCTAATGTGTTTATCGATTGGAGTGCAGGAATTAGGATGAGATGAGAAATTAGATCCCCACAGCTGTTCTGTTGGAATGGCGATTTAGATACTCTTATTTCCTACTGTGCACCTGCTAAGAACACACTGGATGCCCCCATTGAACTCTCTGGATATACCAAAGTACTGTGTGCAAATGTTGGGTTAATATCTGGGCAACCTGTGGATAGACAGAGGGAGGGGGAGGGTGGAGTGGAGTGGAAGTACAGGGTTTTCCTTCTCCTAAAAAAGGAGAGGCGACCCCCTTGCACATGCATTGATGTTAACAATTAATTTGTGATGTAAGGAGTGTGCACACTGATGTGAGGAGGGAGCACTCTTATGAGGGGGGGGGGGCACACTGATGGTCCACTGCTGTAAACAGAAGAGCACACTGGTGTAAGGCTGGGAGCTATACTGATGTAAGGAGAGGGGCACATTTATGTTAGGAGGGGAATACTGATGTAAAGAGGATTGTACACTAATGTAAGGAGGAAGGCAAATGGATGTAAGGAGTGGGGCACACTGATGTAAAGGAGGGGGATAATTATGTAAGGAGGGGGGTAAACTGATGTAAGGGGGGTACACTGATGTATGGAAGGGGACATACTGATGAAGGAAGGGGTGCACAGTAATGTAAGGAAGGGGGTACACTCATGTTACGAGGGGGCTAAACTGATGTAAGGGGGCACACTAATGTAAAAAAGGGGGAACACCGATGGGGTACATTATTGTAAGGAGGAGGCATGCTGATGTAAGGAGGAGGCACACTGATGTAAGAAGGGGCATACTGATATAAGCAGGGGGAATACTGATGTAAAGTAAGGGGGTACACTGATGTAAGGGGGGGGTACTATGATGTAAGGAGGGGGGTACACTTATATAAGGAGGGGGGAACACTGATGTAAGTAGGGGGTATACTGATGTAAGGAGTGTGGGCACACTGATGTAAGGGGTACACTGATGTAAAGAGGGGAGCACTCTGATGTAATAAGGGGGGCACACAGATTTAAGAAGAAGGGTACACAGATGTAAGGGGAGCACACTAATGTAAGGATGGGGAGCACACGGATGTAAGGAGGAAGTACATTATTGTAAAGGGGGGGATACTGATGTAAGGAGGGGGGCACACTGATGCATGGAGGAGGGAACACTGATGTAAGGAGGGGCATGCTGATGTAAAGAGGGGGTGTACACTGATGTAAGGGGGGGACACTGATGTAAAGGGGTGCACACTGATATAGGGAGGGGTATAATAATGTAAGGTGGGGGCTACAATGATATCAGGAGGGAGCACACCGATGTAAGGAGAGGGGGGGCATACTGATGTAAGGAGGGAGGGTACAATGATGTAAGGAGGGGGGCACTCTGATATAATGATGGGCATACTGATGTAAGGAGGGGGGTACACTGATGTAAGGAGTGGGGCACACTGATGGAAGAAGGGAGCACATTGATGTAAAGGAAGGGACACTGATGTAATAAGGGGCGCACACTGATGTATGGATGGGGTCACACTGATGTATGGAAGGGGAATGCAAATGTAAGGGAGGCACACTGATGTAAGGAGGGTGCACACAGCTCACTAATGTAAGGAGGGGGGCACACTAATGTAAGGGGGACACATTGATGTAAAGATGAAGGCACACTGATGTAAGGAGGGGGGCACTCTGATGTAAGGAGGGGCATACTGATGTAAGGAGGGGGGGCACAATGATATAGAGAGGAGGGGGCACATTAATGTAAAGGCAGGGATACTGATGTAATAAGGGGCGCACAGTGATGTATGGATGGGGTCACACTGATGTATGGAAGGGGCATGCAAATGTAAGGGAGGCACACTGATGTAAGGAGGGTGCACACAGCACACTAATGTAAGGAGGGGGGCACACTAATGTAAGGGGGACACATTGATGTAAAGATGAAGGCACACTGATGTAAGGAGGGGGGCACTCTGATGTAAGGAGGGGCATACTGATGTAAGGAGGGGGGGCACAATGATGTAGAGAGGAGGGGGCACATTAATGTAAAGGCAGGGATACTGATGTAATGAGGTGGGCCACAATGATGTAAGTAGGGGACATGCGGATGTAAGGTGACACACTGATTTAAGGAGGGTGCACACGGTACACTGATGTAAGGAGGGTGGGAATATTGATGTTTGATGTGGTGCATTTTTGGAAAGGGTCAGGGACTTTTCCACATTTCTTGCTTGTAGGACAGCCTGTTGAAATGAATGGGCTGCCCAAAGCACAGAAATACACACACGCTCAGTCGCATCTGTAGGTGTGAACCAAGCCTAATTTATTTTCTACATTCTAACTCAAATTGTATCGCTCACAGTCTCTATCAAGCCTTAACACAGATTTCTTAGTTCATTCTGTCATGATTCCTTTAACTTTAACTGAACTTATAATGGTCACTTTTAGTCAGCAGTACTGCCAACTGAACATGACTGGGGCTACATTTTTCTGTGATGCAAAGCATCACAGCTGCAGCATGGAGGAGCTATTATCAAATCCTGGTACAAATCAAATAATTGGATCGCCACCAGCAAAACCTTGTCCATAACAGGGTTTAAAGTCCCCACCTGTTCAAGGGGTCCAAAAAGAGGTCACCACAACTAAGCAGTGTCTCAGTAGTTCAAACATTACACAGTTTCTCTCTCAAGCATGTCCTGCTCTACCCCATACCTCATGGACACATGCTGACAACATCCTGCCCTCTCTCACAGGCTGGTTAACCCTTAAAGGTCTACAGTACCTGTAGTCTGGGTTGGAGACTCTTTCCAACCCAAAAATTTCCCCAAACCTCTGAATCTGGGACCCATATTAGGACTTAACAATCCTGGGAAAACTGTAAATCAGCTATTTATTTTTTAACGGTTCACTCAGGAACCCCTCATCTTTCATGGTTGATAATCCCTGAGTACTCACGAACATTGTCTTGCTATCCTCCTTAAAGGGACAAAAACACCAAATGAAAGTGATATATACCTCCATCCTGTTTGAGATATATATATATATATATATATATATATATACATATATACACACACACACACACACACACATATTGTCAGGAATGGACTGGCCAGCAATGGTGGGACTCGCCTGCCTTATGGGCTGCAGTACCAGGGCTGGCCAGCGGGTGCTCCCAGCAATCAGAGACTCAACCTTGCAGCCAGCTAAACACCTGAAACTGCTTATACTGGTGTATTTAAGGGATGGCCAGACCTGCAGACTCTGCCTTGGTGTGTGTTTTTCCTGGGCCCTGTATCCTGTTCCTGCATCCTGTTCCTGTCTTGTTGCTGACCCTGCCTGATCTGACCTCTGCTGACTTCTCCTGCTCTGACCCCGGCTCGTTCCTGACCATCCCTCTGCCTGACCCTCTGTACCACGCTGCCCGCTACCTGCTGAACCTGGCTTGTGACCCCGACCATTCTCCGCTTGCTCCCCTGTACCTACCTGCCCGATTGATATTGACCCGGCCTGCCTGACGACGCTTGCATTGTATGTACTGTTATCTGTGGGTGGTTTGGTTTGGTTCGTTTGCACTGTGTTATGTTTTAGTATTGCACTGCATTTATGTTTGTATTGTTAGTGTCAATAAATTATATTGTTTATAACATATCTGAAGTCTGCGTTTCCCTGCGTCAGTCACACACCTCTGGTCATACCCGGGAGCCCTGACATTACACCAAGGCCAATCCTGACCAGAAGTGGCTGCACAGGGAAGCCATCTTGGTTTGTTGATGGGAAGGATGGATCTGGATGAGGTTGCGTATTTATATCTGCTAGTGTTTGATGACAGAGAGTATGCTTATCAAACTCTGAAGGAGTATCCCCGGGATGAATTGCTAGAATGTATACGGCTCGCTCATGTTCTAGTAGATCAGGGCACAGAATTCTCTGAGGTGCAGCCATTGATTCAGGTTTATGCGGAGTTGGTTTCATCTGGTACCCCCGAATGCAGGGATGAATTTTTGCCGCCATTTAGTGCCGACCAGGTAGAGTCCCTGGTATGGTTATTACAGGATGATGTGGATTGCTTCTTGGAGCATTATGCTGCATGTTCACCACAAATACTAAGAGATTGTATAAACGCAGTGCAGTCTTTGGTCAGACAGGCTTTGTGTAAGCTCAGTTTTGTTCAACCCCATACTGCAGACATGGACAGATTTGTTGCACCCAGCCTCAGTCAGCCTACAAAAAACCCAGTCCTGCTTCTAATCTATTTCCTCAAATCTCTATTCCTGCATTCCCAACAGCTCCTCCTGCCCTGCTATCTACCGCATGTCAGTTTTACCCTGTTCCCACTCGCTGCACCTATCCTGCCTTTAACCCTGTAAAAAAGCCCTCTGTAGCAACTGCTCCCCTCCCCTGTTCCATCCTCCAGCTCTTCTCTGTCTCCAGCTGCTCCATTCGTTTGCAGACCTGCGTTTACTTGCAGTGCTCCAGTAGTTAAAACCAGAAAAAAGCGAAAATTCTTTCCAACCAATACCATCCTGCCAGTATCCAAACCGGTGAGCCTGCCGTCTGAGAACCTGCCTTCCGTGGTTCAGCCTGGTGCCTCGCACCCACACTTCAACCTGATGTCTGTACCCGGCCTGATGCCTGTACCCAGCCTGATGCCTGTACCCAGCCTGATGCCTGTACCCAGCCTGATGCCTCTCCTCAGCCTGATGCCTCTCTTCAGCCTGATGCCTCTCTTCAGCCTGATGCCTCTCTTCAGCCTGATGCCTCCACTCAGCCTGATACCTCCACTCAGCCTGATGCCTCCACTCAGCCTGACGCCTCCACTCAGCCTGATGCCTCTACCCAGCATGATGAACTGATCCAGCCTGATGATCCTATTAGGCCAGTTGACTCGATGCCCGCTGTTGATCCAGATGATCCGGTACCTGATCCGGTGCCCGCTGTCGTGCCAATTGACTCAGAGCCCGCTGTCGTACCTGGTGACTCAGTGCCCACTGCCTTGCCAGATGACGCGGTGCCCGCTGGCGAGCCAAATGACCTGATGCCTGGTGACCCAGTGCCCGCTGTCATACCTGGTGACCCGATGCCCGCTGTCGAGCCAGACGATCCAATGCCTGGTGACCCGGTGCCCACTGCCTTGCCAGATGACGCGGTGCCCGCTGGCAAGCCAAATGACCTGATGCCTGGTGACCCAGTGCCCGCTGTTATACCTGGTGACCCGATGCCCGCTGGCGAGCCAAATGACCTGATGCCTGGTGACCCAGTGCCCGCTGTCATACCTGGTGACCCGATGCCCGCTGTCGAGCCAGACAATCCAATGCCTGGTGACCCGGTGCCCACTGCCTTGCCAGATGACGCGGTGCCCGCTGGCAAGCCAAATGACCTGATGCCTGGTGACCCAGTGCCCGCTGTCATACCTGGTGACCCGATGCCCGCTGTCGAGCCAGACAATCCGGTACCTGATGACCCGGTGCCCGCTGTCGTGCCAATTGAGTCAGAGCCCACTGTCGTGCCTGGTGACTTGGTGCCCACTGTCTTGCCAGATGACGCGGTGCCCGCTGTTGAGCCAAATGACCTGATGCTGGTGACCCGATGCCCACTGTCCAGCCAGACGATCCAATGTCTGACCCAGTGCCCGCGGTCATGCCAGTTGACTCGGAGCCCACTGCCTTGCCAGATGATGTGGTGCCCGCTGTCGAGCCAAGTGACCTGATGCCTGGTGACCCGATGCCCGCTGTCCAGCCAGACGATCCATTGTCTGACCCAGTGCCAGCGGTCATGCCAGTTGACTTGGAGCCCACTGTCGTGCCTGGTGACCCGGTGCCTGTCGCTCCGCCTGGGGGTCCGGCGCCCGCTGCTCCGCCTGGGGGCCCGAGACCTGTCGCTCCGCCTGGGGGTCCGGCGCCCGCCGCTCCGCCTGGGGGCCCGAGAGACCTGTCGCTCCGCCTGGGGGTCCGGCGCCCGCCGCTGCGCCTGGGGGCCCGAGACCTGTCGCTCCGCCTGGGGGTCCGGCGGCCCGCCGCTCCGCCTGGGAGCCCGAGACCTGTCGCTCCGCTGGGGGTCCAGCGCCCGCCGCTCCGCCTGGGGGCCCGAGGCCTGTCGCTCCGCCTGGGGGGTCCAGCGCCCGCCGCTCCGCCTGGGGGCCCGAGGCCTGTCGCTCCGCCTGGGGGTCCGGCGCCCGCCGCTCCGCCTGGGGGCCCGTGCCTGTCATCCCGCCTGGGGGCCCGATGCCTGTCGCCCCACCTGGGGGCCCAATGCCTGTCGCCCCTCCTGGGGGCCCGGCGCCCGCCGCTCCACCTGGGGGCCCGCCGCCCCGTCTGGGGGCCCGATGCCTGTCGCCCCATCTGGGGGCCCGATGCCTGTCGCCCCGTCTGGGGGCCCGATGCCTGTCGCCCCGTCTGGGGGCCCGATGCCTGTCGCTCCGCCTTGTGGCCCGCTGCCTGCTGCTTCGCCTGGTGATCCGATGTGCCTCTGCCCGGAGTCCAGCCCGATGTGCCTCTGCCCGGAGTCCAGCCCGATGTGCCTCTGCCCGGAGTCCAGCCCGATGTGCCTCTGCCCGGAGTCCTGCCCGATGTGCCGCTGCCCGGAGTCCTGCCCGATGTGCCGCTGCCCGGAGTCCTGCCCGATGTGCCGCTGCCCGGAGTCCTGCCCGATGTGCCTCTGCCCGGAGTTTTGCCCGGTGTGCCTCTGCACGGTGTGCCGCTGCCCGATGTGCCTCTGCCCGGAGTTCTGCCCGGTGTGCCTCTGCCCGGTGTGCCGCTGCCCGATGGGCCGCTGCCCGGAGTCCTGCCCGGTGTGCCGCTGCCCGGAGTCCTGCCCGGTGTGCCAGTCTTTGATATCCCGCCAGTCACCAGACCCGGCGGTGGAACATTTTGCCCAGCTAGGACTGTTTGGAGCGTCCTGAGGCCGCTCCTTGAGGAGGGGGGTACTGTCAGGAATGGACTGGCCAGCAATGGTGGGACTCGCTTGCCTTATGGGCTACAGTACCAGGGCTGGCCAGTGGGTGCTCCCAGCAATCAGAGACTCAACCTTGCAGCCAGCTAAACACCTGAAACTGCTTATACTGGTGTATTTAAGGGATGGCCAGACCTGCAGACTCTGCCTTGGTGTGTGTGTTTTCCTGGGCCCTGTATCCCTGTTCCTGTCTTGTTGCTGACCCTGCCTGATCTGACCTCTGCTGACTTCTCCTGCTCTGACCCCGGCTCGTTCCTGACCATCCCTCTGCCTGACCCTCTGTACCACGCTGCCCGCTACCTGCTGAACCTGGCTTGTGACCCCAACCATTCTCCGCTTGCTCCCCCTGTACCTACCTGCCCGATTGATATTGACCCGGCCTGCCTGACGACGCTTGCATTGTATGTACTGTTATCTGTGGTTTGGTTTGGTTCGTTTGCACTGTGTTATGTTTTAGTATTGCACTGCGTTTATGTTTGTATTGTTAGTATCAATAAATTATATTGTTTATAACATATCTGAAGTCTGCATTTCCCTGCGTCAGTCACACACCTCTGGTCATACCCGGGAGCCCTGACACACATATATATATATATATATATATATATTTATTTATTTTTTGTTAATAACAGTTTTTAATAATATTTGTTATTTCAGTATTTTAGTCCTTGTTATTTGTGGCATTTTTAAAGACTTGATACAAACTGAAGCATTAACAGTAGATTTATTTATATTCTGCCCAAAACTATTCCATTCATTTCTTGAACCAAGATTTGAATTTTTGTAATGCAAACACTTCTTTTTAAAGATTTTCAAAGCTTTTGGTTTCATCACCAAGCACACAAATATTACTGCATAACTAACTCTGACATGAAGTACCTTTTCATTTTAACATTACTTAAACCTGGCTTACTTCTTTGTGCAGATTATAAAACATGAAAGTACATATTTTTCTGTGAATACCTTTCATTATGCTGTGCTATCCTTTTTGTACTTGAAGTTATATTAGACAGTGCATTAGTGACCACTAGTGGCAGAAATGTTCACAGATTTTTGAATTAAAAAAAAAAACCCATCTAAATATTATAGAAACATTGCAAGTTACTGCAGACATTAACAATGCAAAGTCTTGTGTCATTATTGCTATTTAGCATGGCTATTCTATAGTTTTATTTGTAATTTAAAGTAAATAAAACACAAAATTTTCCTCAGTGCTAATAATATTAATAAAATCTATGGTCATTTCAAAATTTACCATGACACTTATACCACTTGCCTTTATTTAGCAACAAAGGACCAATAATAGTAGTACTTTGAATGTGCACAATATATGAAATTGCAGACTCAAAAATATAAATACATAGTTTATATAGACAACTTAAAAAATATTCTGTTTTAAAATCAAATATACTCAAGGCATGATCACATGTAATGTATATGATCCAGCGGTATAAAGACATATATTGCCGACATGTTTTGCTTAGTTCGGGTTTCTTCAGGGGAAATTGAAGGACGACATCTCTGGTGGCCATCTTCCCGCAGCCAAGTGGGAAGCTTGTCTCTAGAACAGACACAGTGTAAGGGTAAGTATCTGCTCTAATCTCTGCTAGTTGAGATGTCACTGTTACTTTTCTGTAATGATGCTGCACTTAATAATAATTCATTTTTGCTGGCAAGGTTTTATATAACCTATATATATTGCATATATATTTCCTTATATATGATGATAATTCATTTTTGTTAATAGCAATACTGCACCCCCCTATTTTGGGGGAGCATTGTTAGCTAGGTCTAAGTAGCAGCCTGGGAGTAATAGCTAGCAGAGAGTCAAAATTGGTTCAGAGCTGAGAGGCTCTGCTGAACAGCCCTCTGGAAATTCCTCCTGCTCTAGAACTTTGAAGAAAGATCTAAAAGCAGTGGGTGCATCTGAGGAGTGGCTGATCTGCACTTTTGAGGGAGCCTGGGCAATCCCCAACAGGAGCCTTGGCAAAGGGCCAGGGTAACCCTTAAAAGTGATTGAGCTTGCTCAGCTACAGGAGAGTTTGGGTGGAAGAGAGAGAGAAGGATGTGAGCCTGGAAGGCAGGAGCCTGTGAGGGGGCCCAGATGGAGAGGCAGAACCTTGGGAGGCTGAAAACTTGGACCTTTACCAGCCCCCCTGAGAGAGGAACACCTAGCTAGAAGGCCTTGTAGCAGCCACCAACCCACCGACAGCACAGGAGAGGGATCAAGTGAGCAAACCTGCTCCCACTGGGCCAGTGTGGGGAAAGGAGTGGGAAATTGGATTTGCTATCTTACCCAGGACTGCAGTGGCAGGTATTGGATCCTCCGCCCAGGGATTTTACCAGTACAGCTGGATGAGGAGAGGAATCATCTGGGGCCTGGGTGGTACTGCAGGAGATGCTGGCTAGCTCTCCAAAAGAGATATTTTGCTCTAAAGACTTGTACATAGTTCAGATAGATTGTCCTCTGTTGCCATACCCTTGGGCATCCCATACACCCCTTACCCCATCCAAGTTCCAAATCCCTTAATAAAACTCCAAAACAAAGTTCAAGGACTGGTTACTGTGTCCTGATGCATGTCTGAGTGAAGGAAATGCGTGTTGCCTGGCTAAATAGTAATTAGATCTGAAACAAACACAGCTGATCACGTGATGTGGTAAAAGGCCAATCACAGCGGCCTTTTACCAAGTGATCAGCCGTGTCCAATGACACGCTGATCACCTGGAAATGCAATTACCGGTTCTAGGCTGCACTTTCCTCACGCTGTCAGATTGTGAGGAAAGTACTGCCGAGAACCGGCAGTTGTTAGAGCAGGAATCGGCACCAATCATCAGGGCACTGATGATCAGTGGCCTGATGATCGGTGCCCAGCAGTGCCACCCACAAGTTCCGCCCACCTGTGCCCAGCAGTGCGCCCATTAACTCCGCCCACCTGTGCCCAGTGGTGTGCCCACTAGCTCCGCCCAGCAGTGCATCCACCTGTGCCCAGCAGTGCACCCACCTGTGCCACCCAGCAGTGTCACACAAGTGTGCCCAGAAGTGCCACCTACCTGTGCCCAGCAGTGCCACCCACCTGTGCCCACCCACCTGTGCCCACCAGTGCCTCCCACCAGTGCCCATCAGTGCAGCCCAGCAGTGCTGCCAGTCAGTGGCACCAGTCAGTGCACAGCAGTGCCGCCAGTCAGTGCCCAGCAGTGCCGCCAGTCAGTGCCACCTATCAGTGCTGTCTATCAGTACCCATCATCAGTGTCGCCAATCAGTGCCACCTATCTGTGACACCTCATTAGTGCTGCCTATCAGTGCCCTTCAGTGCTGCCTATCAGTGCCCATCAGTGCCACCTATCAGTGCCCATCAGTGCTGCCTCATCAACGCACATCAGTGAAGGAGAAAAATTACCTGTTTGAAAAATTTTATAATAGAAACAAAGAAACTTTTTTTTTATTTCAAATGAGCCCAATATATTGTCATGGGTTGCAGTAAATAGCACTATGCACATAAATGAGTAAGTAAAGGATTAGGTAACTCATAGATCACTAGACAATATGTTCACTAGGCTATAGTAGCATAGAATGGACTTCTGTGCAGCTAAATTAGAGCTAACCTGTAAATCTACTAAATCAGCAATAAGTAATGGCATTAGGAAAACAGTAACAGCAATGATAATCATTACTCTTCTGCAAAACAGTAGGCTATATCCACTTTAGAGTTCACTGTATGGCAGTGATGAAATTTAACATTCTCTAAAGAAGTACCTTATTACTATGACAATTGGCATTTTGTTCTTATTTACCTTTGTGTTTGATGGACATTAAAAATGTGCAGCTATTGCCATACTACAGTGGCAGTGCCTTTGCAGTATAATGGGGAGTATAATGGGGAGTGGCTGGGGATGGTTAAAATGTGGCTCAGCTGCACATTTTTAATGTCCCTCAAACACAAGTGTAAATAAGAACTAAGAGGAAGCATCTCACTTCATGCTTATGTGATCATCATCATTATCGTGATGATGATAACACAGTACAGAAGGTGCTGTATGTCTGTCTGTATACTGCGTATGGCTGTATCTCTGTCTTTGCTTCAGATAACAGAAATTGTGAGCTTGCCTGTGCACTAGGTTCCCATTGCTGCCTGTACCCTTGGTCACCTCTCTGTTGAGTCATCTCCTGCCAATGAGCTACTGCCTTGCCTTCCACCCGCCTCAGCAATGGAAGGGATAATCACTCCACCAATGAAAGAATCACTCCGCCAGTGAAAGGCTGTGAGCAGCTGCCGCAGGCCACCACTGATCAGCATTGCAGAATGCGGCGTGGCTTTAGCCGCCTGTGCAAAAAGAGTCCCTCTCTGGTCTTCGCCTCCTGGGCCTTCTGGTAAACTGCTGGAGCCCTATCATGAGCCCTGGCTGTGGCTGTGCCATAGACTGCTGCCTAGTTTGCCTAGTGGCAGCACCAGCCCTGCACACAGCCCAGCTTGGGAGATAGCCTATGATGGCACACCAAGGAGAGGAGGAGACTTGAGTGTGGGTGAGGAACATCAGAAGAAGAGGTTCAGGGCTGCTCTGTGCAATACCATTGCAATGAACATGTAAGTGCAACATGTTTGTTATAGTTTTTTAAAAAAGGACCATACAATTACTTTACGATTTTAGTGACTTTCCTGGGTGCCCATTGGAGGTTTTGGTTGCATGTGAGCCACCTAACCAGAGCCAGTTAATTTTTCAAATAATTGTCATCCTTCCTTTTATTATTTAATATCAACAAGTATTGAAATCCCAGTTCCCAGTTAAATTTCTCTTTAAATAGTTACAATAAAAAAACTTCCTCTTCCTGTAAATCAGACACACTAACACATTAGCACCAGGTCTACAACAATTAATGTATGGTATTCAACTAAATGACCAAACATCAACATACAGTATTAAATACCATAAATACAAGTATGGTAACAGAACTTAAACCTTCTTCCCTCTCATCTCCGTTTTTTTTTTTCTTTTCTCTCTCTACACTGCTAATCGCAGCTTCAAAGTTAAGACTGCTATTATTATTATACAGTATTTATAAAGCGCCAACAGTTCGCTCAGCGCTGTACATTACAAAGAGGGACAGAACATGCGACAGTACAGTAACCATTCAATGCGATACACGAGGAGTTTGAGGGCCCTGCTCCTTCAAGCTTACAATCTAGGAGGGAGGGGATAGTGGTACAGGAGGAGACAGCTGTGGGGGATGGAGTGGTAGGAAGAGTGGAGGAGGTCGGCAAATTAGCAGGGGGTGGGGTAGGCTTCCCTGAAGAGGTAGGTTTTCAGGGTGCGCCTAAAGGAGAGGAGAGTAGGTGATAGTCTGCTGGGTTGGAGCAGGGAGTTATAGAGGATGGGTGACACCCTGGAGAAATCCTGGAGCTGGGCATGGGAGGAGGAGACCAGGGAACTAGAGAGAAGGAGGTCTTGTGAGGAGCGGAGTGTGCGTGTTGGGTGGTACTTGGATATTAGGTTGGTGATGTAATTTGGGGCAGTATGGTGGACAGCTTTGTATGTCAGTGTTAGGATTTTGAATTTGATCCATTGTGCAATCGAAAGCCAGTGGAGGGATTGGCAGAGGGGGTGGCGGAAATGGAGCGGTTGGTAAGGTGAATGAGTCTGGCTGCTGTATCCAGGATCGACTGAAGCGGGGATAGCCTGTGGCGAGGCAGGCCAGTGAGGAGGGAGTTGCAGTAATCGAGTCGTGATATGATGAGGGAGTGGATGAGCTGTTTAGTGGTTTCTGGTGGTAAGAACGTGCGGATTTTGGCGATGTTGCGGAGGTGGAGTCTGCATGAGTTTGTTAATGATTGGATCTGGGGCTGGAAGGATAGGTTGGAGTCCAGAATGACAATAAATACTCTGGCCTGCGGGGCTGGCCTGATAGTGGCATTGTTGGACGTGATGGAGAAGTCAATGGGGGGGTGGTGTGCGGGCTGGGGGGAAGACTAGGAGCTCAGTTTTGGAGAGGTTCAGTTTAAGGAAGTGGAGCGACATCCAGTCTGATATATCGTTCAGTAGGTTTGTGATTCGGGCGGAGACTGAGGGGGTGAGGCGAGGGGTTGAGAGATAGATTTGTGTGTCATCGGCATAGAGGTGATAGTTGAAGCCGTGAGAGTGTATGAGTTGGCCAAGGAAGGAGCTGTAGATGGAGAATAGAAGGGGCCCGAGGACGGAGCCTTAAGGGACCCCAACAGAGAGGGGGAGTGAGGGGGAGGTGGTAGCATTATAGGTAACGCTGAAAGAGCATTGTGATAGGTAGGATGAGAGCCAGGAGAGAGCGGAGTCTCTGAGGCTGAGGGAGTGTATTTTTTTGAGGAGGAGGAGGGGTGGTTGACTGTGTTGAAGGCCACGGAGAGGTCAAGGAGTAGGAGCACTGAATAGTGGCCATTAGCTTTGGCGGTAAGAAGGTCATTGGAGAGTTTGAGTAAGGCAGTTTCGGTGGAGTGTAGGGGATGGAAGCCAGACTGTAGGGGATCGAGGAGGTTGTTGTCATTGAGGTGAGAGCTTAGGCAAGTGTAGACTAAGCGCTCGAGGAGTTTGGATGTGAATGGGAGCAGGGAGATGGGTCTGAGGTTGTTTAGGGTCATTGGGGTCCAGAGAGGGCTTTTTAAGTATGGGGGTGATGTGTGCATGCTTCAGAGGGGAGGGAATGCACCGGAAGAGAGGGAGGGATTAAAGATGTGGGTGAGGGAGCGTAGAATGGAGGGGGAGGGAGGTCGTAGGAGTTGTGAGGGGATAGGGTTGAGGGGACAGGTGGTGAGGAAGTGTGGGGTGGAAATGGAGGTCAGAGCAGTGGTGGGGCCGTGGGAGAGGGGTGATGAGGGGGGTAGCTAAGTGAGGGGGAACGGGGTTGGAGGGAGTTTGAGCAGCGATGAAGTCCCTGCAGGTTATGTCGAGGGAGAGGGGTGATGAGGGGGTAGTTGTGTGAGAGGGGATGGGTTTGGAGGGAGTGTGAGCTGCGGTGATGTCCTTGCGAATTGTGTCAATCTTGTTTTTGAAGTGATTGGCAATCTCAAGGGCGGTGAGTGAGGTGCTGGGTGGAGGTGTTGGCGGAGAGAGTAGAGAGTTAAAGGTGGAGAAGAGTCGGCAAGGATTGGAGGAGAGGGTCTTGATGAGGGTCAGGAAGTAGGCTTGTTTGGCGGCGTGGAGGGAGGAGGTGTAGGTGTGGAAGGCAGATTTATAACGGGTGAAGGCTTGTTGGGATCTAGTTTTGCACCATAGTCGCTCCAGGGCAAGACTGTGTCGTTTAAGAGTTTTGGTGTGCTCAGTCTGCCAGGGTTGGAGCGGTCGGGGTCTGATGCTTCGTGTGATTAAAGGCGCTAGTGAGTCAAGGGCTGTTGACAGCGCGTTGTTATATAGTCAGTCATATAGGCAGTCATAGCCAGGTCGGGGCAGGACAGGGGGAGGATGCTGTCATGGAGTTGATCAGCTGCAGAGTGGAGGGGGGCAGGGTTCAGGCTGCGGAGGTTACAGCTGGTAGTAGTATGACATTTGGAGGGGTAGGCATTAGAGGACGAGGTGATAGAGAAGGTAATAAGGTTGTGGTCAGAGAGAGGGAAAGGGGTGTTGGTGAGGTTGTGGGGAGCACAGCGGTTGGAGAAGACAAGGTCCAGGATATTTCCATCGGAATGGGTGGTGGATTGTATGCACTGTGCAAGTGCAAAGGAGGAGGTTAAGTGGAGGAATTGGGATGTGGTCGGGTTGTCAATGTTGATAAGGATATTGAAATCCCCAAGGATGATGGTGGGTAGCTCGGAGGAGAGAAAGAAGGGTAACCAGGAGGAAAAGTCATCTAGGAAGCTGGATACGGGTCCAGGAGGCCGGTAGATTATGGCAATCTTCAGGGGGGTTGGGGAGAATAGTCGGATGCAGTGGTCCTCGAAGGAGGAGAAGGATAGAGAGGGGGGGTTAGGGAGGACTCGGAAGGTGCTCAGTGGTGACAGGAGCAGACCAACCCCACCACCTTTACGACCGTTGGGTCTGGGTTAGTGGGTCCAGGTGAGACCTCCACAGGAGAGTGCAGCAGGGGAGGTAGAATCAGTGGCCTGGATCCAGGTTTCCATGATCGCTAGGAGGTTGAGGGAGCGGGAAACAAAGAGGTCGTGGATGGCGGTGAGCTTGTTGCACACCGATCATGTTTATAACATGAAATGGAAGGCAAGAAAAATACCCAACAAGTCATAAAGTGCGACCCAGAGAAAAGAGAATGGACTGAGAGTCAGCATG